ATGTCAAGGGAAGCCATCAGCGCCTTCAATATAAACAACACAAGTTAGTATGATGAATCAATACTTACTTAAGTGTTGATTGATTTTTTTATCTTTATATTTACTACGTGGTGGTCTATTGTTCAATCAATGTACATAAATTGAAACATTGTAGACAATAATTATTGAATATACGAAACGTCTATAGCAAATGACCGAAATTTTTGAGCTTTGCAGCGTTTGCGAAGTATCTTAAATGTAAACATCCTGTAAATAAACTTTAAGTATAGTAAACAAGTTGTGTTCAAAGAACCTTTTTTATTGTTGTGTTATGATTCTTGAACTTATATATATCAAATTGAAAGATTTCAATTTATTGTTAAATACTTTTTAAGTGGATTATATGGTATTCCATTTTGCCTTAGAATTTGTTAGTCGAGCATCAAGAATTGATAGTTAATGATTGATTTATTTTTTCACTGGGATAACCCCATAGATATATTCCGATATAGATATAAATACAATGAATAAAAGGTATACCGATTTTAAGATAAAAAAACTGATCTAGGCGTAACGTTTGAGTTATTAGTAACCCTCGAAGTGTACAATATGGTAGAGTTAATCACTAAACCCTGCGGAATGGTATAACTGGATTCGTGGACGTTAAATCATCTTACCTAAGTAATCTCTTAAAAAAGTAATCTCTGGGATATAAAAATTAATACCAAAAACAAAATCCTAATAGAAGTGTGAACAGGGAATCAAGCTGAGCTTAATTTATTACGAGGTAGTGTTAGGCGAACCGGCTCGGAACAAGTGAAATAAATTTTAATCATTCCAAAATAAAATTCAAAGAAGACTGTTGATATCGTCATGATATGTATGAAATTCGAATACATATAAGGATATTAAAGTTGAAAGCACCAAAAAATATATATTAGGGATAGAACCCTTAATCTCTTCATTACTGTGAAAACTCAAGTTACGACACAGATTGTTCGTCCCTATTTGCTGCTGTGTATTTGGCGGCTGCTCTTGGGTCGTTGCAATAAATTTGTAAAGAAAATAATGTTTATAATGATTATTTATTTGTTTATTAATATTTTGTTATTATCACAATGCAGAGTTGAATTTATTAGACCAATCCTTCTGTTGGACTTTGAAATCTAATAACAAAAGAATGTAATTTTTATTCTAGTCAATATTATCAAAATAACATCTATACTTTTTAGTGAGTCGTCCAAGTGATCAATTAACTCTAGAAAAAGGTTTACATTCACTCTCTTTAGAATGGAAATAAAACAAGACAAGCAACAGATGACAACAAGCAAAGCGCTGGATAGTTCGACTACTTAATAATAAGTTAACAGGGATATAGTACGATATAAACTTTGGAAACGTCTCTCAGTCTGACTCCTAGCGAAACAGGCCCTAACTGAACAGAAGTCATGTCGCTCTTCCACTTAAAGCCAAAATATCAGCTGTTAAAGCTGATTAATAAGCGTACTCAACTGATGCAAACTTGTTCAGGTTGCAAACTATAAACGGATTATCCATATCCGAATAATTGTATTAAAAATTGGTTTCGACGACTTTGATTAGGAAAATCACAACATTGCTGAATTTAAGCCGATAATCCAAGTATAATTAAATCTGATCAGTGTTCATATCAAAATCGGTTCAATTTCTCTTTGTTTAGCATTAATCAGGCATTGTTACCGTGACTATGATTACATATTTTGATTTGGTGCGGATTTAATAGAACATTATGTTGCTTGACATATGGTCATGATCACAAACAGAATACAATATTTGTTATTAAGTCTCTGGCTATTATACCTTAAGTGGTTTCATGTTTGAGCTAAGGGTATAGTATATGGCCATAACAACCAGTTACCGGGTTTCGACCTGACGCAGCATGTCTCTCCAGGCACCTCTACTACGTTTGTGGCTTCTCTAGTCTCTAACATGTTCGCTTAGTGCTCCTTCAATTTGATTACTCCACCGGCGACACGATTTACCTTTCCACAACTACCGCTTTAAGTACCTTTTTCGCTGAAGAATCTTCATTCATTCTCACGACATGGTCAAGACAGCTTTTAAAAGGTTTTTCATATTCAGTAATTTTGTCTCAGCACTCCACCGAGTACTGAAAAATTGCCATATTACAATAAACCATAGTGTATGCTAGTCCGACTGAATTAGACGAATTAGAATTATAAATTAGAAGACGGAACTGTCTATAACTAGTGGATTCGGCACTAAAAGTCATTATGTATGTTGAATTAATTATGAACCAATTTAGAGACCAATACAATATTAGTACTGTGGTAATAAAAATGATGGACTTATAATCAACGAAGAGGTTATACATTGAAAATTAAATGGAACGGAAACTATCCCTAAAGTTTAGGAAGTTATATTCACACTTGGCTTAATAAAGTCTATACTCATATAGGACATGTTTTGGCAATTAATATTCTTTTGCGTTAAACAACCATAAATGATGATTGCCCATACAATCAAATACCATTTCGGAATAATCAAATAATAATCAAAATTATATGAACACAAAACCCTTAATTTAATAACTATTTTATTCCATTCGCCCAGGGCATTCAAGGCTATAGTGACTTGCTGCGTTTGCGCATTTGGATAATTTTCGGAAATTATTGTTGGTATTGTTCTCAAGAAAAGTTCTCAGCCATTTCAATGGGAAAAATTTGTTTTACAAGGAATAAATTCACAAGCAATATATTTTTGTTATCAATAGAGACTCAGTATGGAAGCTGATGAAGATTTCGTAATGAATAAGAAGTGCATTTAATAGTTTTGGTTTTTGAGTACAATAAACACAGCCCAATTGTCTGCAGTTGCAATCAAGGAATACTTAAAATAATACATGATTACAATGTATAGCTCAGAAATTATTCCTTCGAGAACCATTGAAACCTTTCAATTGAATAAACAATAAAGGGGCAAGCGTGCAGTAAGTATATTAATGCTTAGAAAATATTATTTTTTTTAAATAATAATATTGTAATATTTATAGACACGTGAATTGAAGTACCACTAGAAATGTGTAACAGATTAATAAGTACAGGGGGAGGGATTGTGGACATCAAGCATGAGTTTGAGAATTTGATTTATGTTATTTTGTTTTTATTATCCAAAAAAATCACATACTTTAGGTTTAACGCTTCTAAAGAAAAGTTGCCACATGACAATCCGATTTCTTCAAACACTTCGGATTCCAAAACACGCGTATAATCAAATAAAATTCAATTGATGCCCGTCAATCTCTCAGTTAATTACGATTTTAACTGTTCTTTATATAGATGTTTTAGTTATTTTAATTGGTAAGCTTAGGTTGAAAGGTCAAACATTTACATTTACATTAGTGTGATACCCTCAAAGTTATGAGGAGATGTTCCGGTACGCTAATCATTGCATCCAATATAACAACTTGTCGTATCCTTGTCTTATCTGAAAGACAACATTTGATAAGTCCAATTTTGAAATCTTTGCTAGTTTGGTGTGCTTTCAACCATTCTGATTTCGTAATATATTATTCGATTTGTTTGATTGTTGAGAAAAACTTGTGGTACACAAGGTTTGGCTTTCTTCCAAAAGCCTACTTTAGCTGCGGTAAGTCGAGAGAAAGTTGTGGTTCACATAATGGCGTAACTGCATTTTTTAGGCCTATAAGCATACATATCAGTATAGTATATACATACTTTTTCAGTTCAAACTACTATCTCAGCTTTTGAACTCTTCCAATAAAAATTTACACACATACTTTTCGGAAGAGAACCCTGTTCACCATTTAATTTAATTGAAATTGGACTACTATTTCTTAAGGCAGCCATATAAACTTAACAATCGGATATGAAATTTCTCCGTTTTTAATAAAGGTATTCGAATGAAATTTGGTATATACTGTTCTTATATTTGCATAAGACAACGTACAAAATTATATTCAAATGGGTTTAAATCTAGATATAGCTTCCATATAAACTCACGATTCAGACACATAATTTTCTTAAAAAAAAGTTTTTATTTTATAAATAGGTATAACATTTTATTTGAAGTACATGTATATTATGTACTTTAAATTTAAAATTTAAGTATCTTTTATAAAATGTAATATGGAGTAGGTGCAATATGGAGTTATTCCAACAAAAAACGTTTCGTCCCACTTTTGAGAATTTATTAAAAATAAATAAAATGAATACATAAATTTATAATGGGACCCCTAAATTTGGGGGCCCGAAAGCGTTGCTTCCAGCCGCTTCCCTGTAGTTACGCCACCGGGTTCACAAGGCTTGGTTAGGTTACGTTGCAGTGGAGGTCCTGTGACCAAAGCCCACTTGAAATCAATTGATGGCATTTTATGTAAAACAAAAGATCAACAAAAAAATTAGGCTACCAATCTATATTTTTATTTAGAGTTTAACAAAGTTACAGCTATAAATATCATAATTGTTAGAAGAATTGTGGAGAAAAGTGGGCAAAAGTGAGTAAACCAAGCCCCTACGTCTGCTCTTTTTAATACCTATCATGAGTTAAATACAGATATATAATCTAATCGTATTTATCCGTTTTATATACAATATTTAGACCTAAAGAAATTTTTTTTTCTCATTTTATAAAAAAGTGTCAATATTAATTAAAATTGCGAGACTGTAGTCTATCAATAAGTTTTCTACACATTTCTTTCACGAAATCTACTTGCCTTGGTGTTTCGAATAGATCGTAGTAGATTACGCATAAAATGTTGTCTTTCTATGGTTAAGACGAAAAAAACACCACCCATTTTTCTACTTCAACCAAACGAATCATAGCACATGTATACCTACTCGTATACCTAGGCTCTACTCTATAAATCACGGTTCAATAAATTTCAGCGCCATTTTGTGAT